AAAAACCTCGAATAGCCAAGACATTACTCAGGAATAAAAACAAAGCAGGAGGAATCACGCTACCAGACCTCAGATTATACTATAAATCCATAGTAAAATTTTATCTTCTGTAGTAATGGAGGGGAGGAGCTGGGTTGCGCTTCCTAGAACAGTTTACCTGTTAAGTTGTAGCTTGGGGCCCTAGGACAGTCACCAGACTATACATAATTGGATGGGAAATTTTAGCATGGGGACTCCCACATTACTCAAGTAGCGAAAATTCACTCACCAAACCCGTGTGAGGTTCTCCTCCCCTCCCCCAACCTGCTTCTTTACCTTCCAAATTTCATTGTCTCCTCAAATTGGTTTTTTTTTTTTTTTGCCCTTTTCCTTTTCATGGCTGTGGAGGCAAGCAGGTCTGGGTTCAGAATCTCAGCTGTTCAGTAGGTGGGCATCCATCATTTGATTTTTTAAGGATCTTTCCTTACTTATGAAATGGGCAGAATTGTAAGGACTCCCAGAGAGAATGTAGCAGGTACTTGGGAAGGTGAACTCCAAAAAGTTCCCCCTCCTCTCCTTTTGTTCATGGCTGTGTTCTAGGCATACCCAGAACACACTAGGGGTGCTGGGTAGGTACATCTGCTGAATGAGCAAACAGTTTACGGGACACATCAGCACAGTGCTTGGTAGATGGCAAGCGTTCCACAATGGGCAGATTTTATTATGTCCACTTGACAGAGGAAACTCACCTGAAGATGTTACTCCAAGTGTTCCACAGATTTTTTCCCATTTCATCCCTCAACCTCTAAGAATGTCTCAGGCACGCTGGGGTGATTCAAACCTATCTCAAAGCTTCTACTGACAAAATACCCCTTAGATACACGACTTTCAAGAAAACTGGCCTTCGCAAGCATTTGTGAGGGAGTCACAATTCCAACAAAACCAGGAAGGACCAAATTCCAAAGCAAACAAACTCCACCCTAGCTGGGGGAGGGTGTTCACCCCCGTTCTGCTAAAGATAGAGCCCGGGCCCTCCCCGGGAACTTCCTGGCTTTTATTAGTTTGTAATCCCAACTTTTCAAAGGGTTTTCTTTTGGAAGAGTGGGTGCGAAACTGCCTCCCTAATCACATCTTGCGGGAGGATCTCTGAACATCTGTGTATTATTTGAAAACCTAGCATCCGGATGGGATGTTTGGGTGGGTGGAGGACCCTGCCAGGGCGGGATGAACAGCAGAGACACGTTAGAAAAGTGTCAATATCGCTTTTAAACAGGAAGAAAAATTAGGCAAAAATTACAAATGGCTAATTACCTTGGCTCGATTACACAGTTAATCAAAAGCCCGCCTCCCCTACTTTCAGCACCAGTGGCGGAAAATAGGGCACTCAAAGGGTTAAGCGATAAAGATCTTCTCACTGAGAGCCAAGGGACAAAACTCATTACAGATAAGCCTAGTCCTCCCATTTCCCCTGGACGCCTCTCCTAGTTAGCTAAAGCAGCAGCCGCTCCACGGGTAGCAGCCAGGAAATCAGTCTGCCCCGCGGCGCTTTCACCCGGCAGGGGGTAAGAGGCGCGCTTCCTGCACCCTCCCCGCGGCCAAGCCCCGGTGCAGGAACCTTCTCCCTAGGAGCAGAGAGTTGGGAAAACTCCGCTGCCGAGCTATCCAGGCGCTGGGGAAGTGGGTGTGGGGTTCGGAAGAGCTGGATTTTGCAAGCCTGGGATCGATAATACTCTCCTTCCCCCACCCCCAGCCGTGGACTCGGCCAATGGACGCCAGAAAAGGAAAAACATTAAATCTCAATACACCCCGAGTGCAGAGGCCGCTCGGCTTTGTTTCCAGGCGGGGGAAGGCGTTGGGCTGGGGGTGCGAACAAGGGGCGCGGGCGCTGCTCCCTGCCGCGGCACTGCCCACGCAGTGAAACCGAACAAGAAACCCCTTCCCCAAAAGGGGCAGTTGGCCGCTTTCCTCCTTTCCCCGGACCCGGGCGACGGGCGCCTCAAGTCTCGGATCCGCGAGCTAAGCGGACAGGGGGATCTCGCCAAACCTGCGCAGAGTGCGGCATCTTTAAGAACCCGCACAACGGGAATCTGGCAAAGACACGCCGGCCACAGAAGGTAGCCGCCGTCTTCTCCTTCCAAGATCGCGCCAGAAGCGTCCCAGCCCCCAAACTGCCCCAGTTGAGCCCGCAAACCCCGGGGCTACAGCCGCGGGACCCCTTGGAGGCGCGAGCCAAGCGTGGCTGCTTTAAGAGCACAGAGCGCGCGCCCCCGCCGCCAGCTGCCCGGGACTGCGCGCCCCCGCTGTCGCGCGCCCCCTGCTCGCTCGCTCGCTCGCTCGCCGGCTTTAAAGTCTCTGCCAGGATCCATGCTCACATGTTACTTCCTGTATGGAGGCATGGCCAGTTTCCAGCCCCGCGCTCCTCGTTCCTCCCCAGCCTGCATCGGAGCCACAACTTTCAGGAGCATGGACTGAAGGCGCCCTCGCCCCAGCGCCCCTCTGAAATCCTTTGTGTTTTCCTGCGTTTTCTCCGGCCCTTTCTATTTTGGGGGGCTCTCTGCTCCCCCCACCTCTCCCCTCCCCTTCCCCGCTTGCAAACATGCCTCCTTCCTTCCCGGGGCCCTGGAAGGAGCTGCCCGCCTGAAGCCCGGAGGCGCCGCGCCGCGCTCAGCCCCGCCGCCGCCCGCCGGCTCTCGGGCTGTGCTGCGCTGCCGACTCAAGTTGGGGATCCTCGGCTGCTCGCCGCTGCCGCTCGCGGTCCCTGCCTTCCCTGGGCCCGGGGCATCGCCGCCGTCCGCTGACTCCTCGCCCTGCCTGCTCGGCTTGCTCCTTTTTGAACGGAAAGCAGCCTTTCTCTGTTGAGAGGATCGTCCCCAGCGTGGTTCCACGTTCCCGGTCACTTTTTGAGATTTTTCCGGGGGCGCTCGGCGGTTTCCCAGATTCCAAGGGGACTCGGGCCGCCGAGCGCGGGGGACCCGGGAAGCAGACAAGCCGGGGAAGCGCCCCGGCTTAGTGGAGGCTCGCACGGAGGCAAGAACTTATTCAACAAGTTTACCCCCCCTGCTTTTCTCTTTTCGATGTGCGTTTTCGGACATGCGGAGGTTACTGGAACCGTGTTGGTGGATTTTGTTCCTGAAAATCACCAGTTCCGTGCTCCATTATGTCGTGTGCTTCCCCGGTGAGTGCCGGCCGTCCAGGGGACGCGGCCCCGGCCGGCGCGCGTGGGGGATGCAGAGTTGTCGCCGGGGCGCGGAGCTCGGGCGTGAGTCCCCGGGACCCCGGAGAGGGTGCAGGGGGGCCTGGGGCTCTGGAACGAAAGGGGGATTCGCTCCTCCGGCTCTGATGATATTTAGGGAGGCTGGTGGTCAGGAAGGGTGGAGGCAGGCGCCGGGGAGAGGCGAGGGGACGCGGGGGTCTGTTCCCGCCTCGGTTTAGGTGGCCTGGGGAGCCGGAATGGGGGTAAAATGGGACTTGATTTGCTGATCCGCTGCTGATCGGTAGAGCTAGAGTTGTGAGGCGGTTTGGGGAGACTGGGGCCATGGGGAGGATGCCTGTGTCGGCTTGGGGACCCAGGGTGCGCCCCTCGTTCCAGCGGGGATTCAAGGAACTCGGAACCTGGAGCTCGCTTTACTGCTCTCCGACCCTTTGGAAGGGCTGGTGTTCGGGGCATGGAAGCCGGCGTCTGGCCGCGGAGGACAGGATGTGGGGGGCAGCCTGCATTCTTGTCTTAGGGGTCGAGGGCGTCCCCCTCCCGCTTGGGGCTGGGCGCGGGCTGCGCTTGGGTGGCGGCGTGAGGCAGCCTCACTGGGCTCAATAGGGAGGGCATGGACCAGGTGATTTGGGGAGACCCTTGGTCCCCCTAACTCTGGCTCGCAGCGCTTTCTTTACACGACTCTGTTTAGCTAGGTTGTTGGGGTCGGGGCGATGGGGGCGGGTCGGCGGCCAGGTTGCAGTTAGTGCTGGTGTGAATTTTTTTCCTGCTTCGCGCATCCTGCCTATCTTCATTTTCGCCCTTTTGCAGGCTGTTCACGGCTGGCAGACCCAGACCCGCTCCTTTTTGGTCAGGTTAAGACAGGAACAATACTGACCATTGATGACGAGAATAAAACGCCTCGCGTAACGGTGTGCGGTTCGGCGACCCTCCAGTTCAGCCCTCAGCCAGCAGGCCCCCTCCCCTCTCCCTTCGGGGAGGACAGAGGCCAGCCGCTTCCCTCTTCCCTCTTGCAGGCTCACTGGGCTGCAGCCTTGAGGCTCTCTTGAAACTGTCGGGCTCCATCCCTGGGGGTGGAGGACAAGTCCTCTGCCCTGCCCGGGGGAAAGGGTGGAAGAAAGGGGGCAGTTCGCTTTTCATTCCTTGCTTCTCTAAGGACAGAGAACCCCCGGTTGTCTACTCTCTCATCCACCAGCTCCTGGATACCCGGAGGTAGAGGTTATCTGAATCCAGGAAAAGGGGAACGTGCCCCGAGATTTCTGCTCTGCCTGGTTACAGCCGCCTGTCCCCAGGCAGCTACGGAGCCTGGTTTTGGTGCAGCGGGTACCCCAGCCCTGTCATGCGCCTAGAAGCAGGCGCGGCTGCCCACCGGGACTTGTTACGGGAGGACTGGTAGCCAGTGCCCTTTGCGGGTTCGGGGCTGACCTCGAGGGGCAGAGAGGTAAAGCCTGTCTTTTCTTTTGCACTCCCTTTTTCTCTCTGCGTATCCTCCAGCCCGTGAAGCTGAACGGAGCTCCAGCCACAGCGCAGAAACCCAGCTTGGAGGCCGAGCGAGGACGTGCGTCCACACTAACCGGAGGCCTGACGTTTTCCCACTGGGGTCCTGCCTCTGTCGGGGTGCGGGCCATGGGTACATCTCCCCTGAGAAATAGCTGTCTCTTTCCCTTAAAGATCACTGCTCAGTATTTGCATTAATCATTTCCCCTTCCTAAATTGCCCCCACCCCCCCCCCCCCCCCCCGTTTTTTGCCACAGACTTGCCAGCTGAGTGGGCTCAGGTGCACACAGGGATCGAGCTTTGTGAGGACCAAGCTTTAATGGGGGCGGTGGGAGGCAGTGGAGGGCAATCTTCTGAGATAAGAGGCATTTCACTTCTGGCCTTGAGCTTGGGGCTGCAGTCATCTTGGGGCTGACCGTGATTTTCTTTTTTCTGGTGTCTGAGGAAGCTTGAAATCCAAAATGGGCCTGCCAGGAATCCTGCCTTCGTGGGGCTCGATCATTTTCGTCTTCTCATTTTCTTTTCGTGCCCACACTGCGAGGTAAATGGCCCTTTTCCTGGTCCAGGAGCCGCAGGGCGTCGGAAAGGCAAGGGGCAACGGTGGGAGGCGCAGGAGAGAGGGGTTTGGTTTGGAAAAGTGCTGCGGGAGAGGGTGCTGCAGCCTTGGAGCAAGGCAAAGTTAAAATACCAGAGCCGTTGGGAGACGCTGGCTCTCCGCGTTCTGAGGGTGCCGCGACGCCACTGAACCTCAGGGGGCGCCCCCGAGCCACTTGTCTGGCCCCTGCCACCTCCCGTGGTGGGCCGAGGCCACTTACATGCCGCGGGAATGGGGCGCGCGTGCCCGGGCCCCCAGGCTCCCGGGCTGCGGACGCTCCTGGGCTGGAGGAGGCAGCCAGCACTCGGCGATGCTGCTCCTGGAGTTTGCTGTGGGACACCCCCCTACCCCTCCTTGCCTGGCATAAGCTCGAGAGCGTTTGACGCGAGGGATAAAAATGCTTCTAGTTTGGGATTAGGGTCCTTCTTGTGAGGTCTTAAACAAAATCCCTTTTACTTACTTTGTTTTCCCCCAGAATCTCCACAACTTTTCAGTTGCATTTTCAGTTGTGTTTCTGAGCTCCTGTCCAGGATACAGGGTAGCTGCAGTTTGGGGACGGTTTTGGAAACCGCACTGGCATGGGGCTTCTCCCAGCAGTTGGGATCAGAAACAGTGGCTTTTAGTCTTTCAGCCACAGCAGTATGGCCAGTGTGAGATCCATGTCAGGGTTAGTGCTTCAAGCGGTGCTTTCCCAAGCCGAGAGCAGAAGTGTTCTCTTACATGGTATTGGGCAAACATTCTTGTCATGCATCTTTTTAAAAATTATTGTGGAAAAATTTACAGACAAACAATGTAACCCCTGAAGACACTCCATTCAGCTTCAACAGTTATCAACTCAATCTTCTCTGTTCTGTTCCCCCCCACCCCCAGCACCTTACTATTTTAAGGCAAATCCTACACATTTCCTGTAAACTTTGGTATATGTCTGTAATCATTGGGAATTTAATTGCCTCTGACGTGTTACACACTGTTACTTGAGAGGGTTAACCTTTTATCTATTTTACATTCAGTAACTTTTCAGCAAAAAAAATTTTTTATTTTATTGATTTCTTCTCTCTTTTGGTTCTCAAAGTGAAACGATTCTCTTTGGTTCTGAGATGTTTTGTACCATAATTACATTACATCTAGGGGACTGGCGTTGGAAACACTTCAGATGGATAAGCTCAGCTGTGTACCTTGAATGTGTCAGAATTAGAGGATCCGTGATCGATGTTGGGTGCATAGTGACTCTCCCTCCTAGCTCTCTCTTGTGTTTGCGTGTGCATGCTTTAGTCCTGATGGACATCCCTATGGCCTTTGTAGGAAAAGGCAAAAGTAATATTTGAAAGGCAGCAGTCTTACTCTTAGGAATGTGGTGAAAGATCATTCACGTTGTATTTTCCCCCTTTGAGTGTCTTGTTTGAAAATGAAGACTCTTTATTCAGTCTAAACTGGGTCCCTATGGTACAATAATGGAATAAATCTTTGATATTTTCTTCTAAACAGAATTCACATTAAAGGGTTGATGAAGTTAGAACATTAATAAAAATAGGCATAAATAGGACCTTTGGAAGTGGGGAAGCTGCTATTGCTAGAGAAAGAAGGATTGTAGGGAAGGTGGTGTGATGGGAGAAAGGGGACTACCCCTTAGCCAAGCTTTGAGCTCAATTATAAACTGTTTTCAGCGAGTAAAAGATTATGAAGTGGTCCAGGGAAGGCTGATGATTTAGTGTAACAAAACAAAAACCCTTTTGGATATACTTTGTCTTCTGAAAAACTGGCAAGTTAACATAGTAACATCACTTATACCTTGCACCCATGGAAAGGAACTTCTATATTATTTAAATAGGGCTGACTAGCAATTATTAGGGAACTCTTCCTACCCCTTTGCCCCCTACTCCCATTCCTGGAAATTTCTTTAACCTAAGAGATGGCCTGGGCACTTAAATTAGTCTTACTTGGGTGAAGAAAGCAAATTAAGCATTGCTAGTGGGTTGTTGATTTCATAATTCCTTTTATGTAGTAATCTTGTTTGTTTTATTAAAATCGGAATTTCCATTCATCACTTTACTTCTAGTGTATGGTTCAAAGAAATGTCATTTCTAAGCAGGATGAAGATTACAATTATGGGTGTGCATTCTGATTTGGGAGATTAAAAAAATTATGACTAACACTTTCATTGTGGGCCACGTCTTTTAATGTCATCACTTTTCATAATCCAGTGCTTATGGGAAAAATTTTGAGAATGTGAAGTTAACCTCAAAAGCACTTGATACATTCAAATAAGCACTTGATAGTATTTGGTTACAGATTGACCACTATCAGATGATGGGTGGTTATCCCTGAAATTGCATTTGGGGATGTATCTGAGTGGAGGACGGAAGGTCTGTGTATCTGTTAATGTAATGGAAGCTACCAAGAGTGCCCTGTCCCCACTTTTTAATTCTTCACCTGAGCTAGACCTAGGTTAGTAACTAGTGATGAGGTATAGGGAAGCATTCAGGAAAATGAGAAAAGTTCTTTTGAGAAGAACTTGCTCGCAGCAGGCTCTGAGAGCTTATTATGGAATTGGCAGCAATCATAGTAAATTTTCATAGAATGAAGTTGCCTATGCAAATGATTAAAAGATCAAATACCTCTGTTTCCCAATCTGAGAAATGGGAGTGACTATCTTGTTTGCCAAATGCTGAACCCAGGACTATGGTAGTGTTCTGCGCACTTAGAAAATTGAATGCATGTCTATGAAAACTGGTTATCTGTTAGTTTGCTTTGGCTACTTTTGGTATTTTGTTTATGTGAAGTAGTAGCCAGTGATATAACTCCAAAAAAGGATAAGGGTGTCTCAAACACCTGTATTTACCCTCCCCCCACCCCCCACTTTTTCCTACCATTCTTC